GCGAAGGAAATCTACAAACGGCAAATGTTGCCCGCAAAAGTAGGCAACGGATTTTTAAACTTCTGACCCACACAATTTATATGCATAAAAAGGTGTGGGTGAGGGGCCTGTTGGGAATGTATTGTATACACCCCGTTTTTGCCAAACGTATTTTAGTCAAATAAAAAAAAAAAGAAACTAGTAAGAGCGTCGGCTGGAAGCGACTAGGCAATACTCTGTTCACATAAAAAGATAGAAAGAAATCGATCGCAAAAGAGTTTTCGCATTTGTAGTTCTCGGACTCCAAACCCAAAGCACTGACGTTAAAACTGTAACTTGGGTGATAATTTAAGCATTTCTATAGTTCAATATACTTTTCTTTTCATCTTTTGAACAGAGTATCGAAATTGAATAATGCGAGAATGTGAAATGCGATTTTTACGGTTTTCTTTATTTTTCCTTGCGGTCGCCCTTTTGATCGGCTTAGACTCTGGACACCGTGGAAAAATGTGCGCTCAAAGGGCATAAATCATTGTGAATTTATCATAAATCAAATTCAATTTTGTGTATAGCTGCCATTGGCACGCCCACGCCCACGCCCACGCCCACGTCCACATTCAGGCTGTTGTCGTTGCTCTGTGTATTTGCTTAATACATAAATATTTTGTTTATTTATGATTGTTTCCAGTTGACTTGGGCAACAGTTTTGTCTTTGCATCGTGCGCCAATTGACATGCCTCTCGACCATTTTTCTCTGCATTTCTTTCAATTTCCTATGACAAACAACAAATACTTGAATTTCCTGCGGCGCATAGTTCCTAAAACATCTGCTTAAAAAAGGACATAAAAGGGTAAAAGAAATTGAAACGTTGTTTGCTGTAAAATATATAATGGATGTCTTTAAGCTGGGCAAGATGTTGAGATTAAAACTTTCACCTTGTTAACTGTCCTGAACTGAGCCTTGATCAGCATTTGCTATTTTATATAGATAAACATAAATAAAGTTAGGCGCAAATAAGCTTAACTAAAATTAATAACATACTTTACAGATTTGTCCTGTTTTACTATTTCTGACATCTCGCTACTCGTAAAATCAAGTACGCATTCCAGTAACTACTATATGCGTATAATCGCTTATTTTCTCATGCGCCATCACAAGTTACGTGCAAATTGCCTATTGACCATGATGTTCAGTGGGGAGCTTGTGGGGCCCGGGGCGGGGCGTTGGTGTCACTATTTGATGGCCCTTGGTAAGCACTCACACACACACACGCACACACACACACACACACGCACACGCACACACACACACACAGACACAATATGTCATTTTCGCTATTGGCCATTTCCATTTCTATTTCCATTGCCCCCAACCGAACAGACAACCTTCTGACATCATAAAAAAAAGTTTTATGCGTCGTGCGTTCGCCTCGCTGTGCATTTCGGTTCGCCGTATCTGCTAATTGAATCGCCGCTCCGAGCGACTCGTAAAAACTACAAGTGCTGCAGTATGAATCCTAAATATGTCCACCAGTTTTTGATATATGTAGATGCCATTCATTGGCTTCTGCTGCAGCTTTGCACGTATCATGACTGCAAGCATTGAACAATTATATTAGTGGCGTGGTGCGCAGTTCGAGCTCGGGCCGAGGCCTTCAGGCTTGGTGTTTGCGCAAATGTTTTTTGAGGCATTAAGCCCTGTTTTCGCTCTGTAACACAGTTAACAGTTCTTGCAATTAAAAATTAAGAAATGTCGGCTTTTTTAATTAAAAGTTTGCATATTTTATTTTATTCATTTAATTGTTAATAATTGTTTAATCTTATACTTTGAATAATAAAATAAAGTTGCGGTTTTGATAAACGTTAACAGGTAAGAGGGTTTTAGTCGGGAGTGTCCCACTAGGGGATGGCCTAAAGCTTCTTCTAAGAACACCAAATGCAGCTGATGACGGTAACTATAGAATGAAAGAAACTTCTTCTGTATATAATATTTTACTTGTCAAATTTGGCGATGCTAGCGATTAAAGGCAGAATTTTGATATAGATTCTTATCGATTGCTTAGAAACGGAGCTTATTATCTATTATCGGAAACGAACTCATACTGCCTGGACAGTAGGCAGAGCTACTTACAATTACAAGTAGCTCCTATATGCTCTGAGATCCTTGCTTTCATACATACGAACGGAATTTCAAACGCAACATGATCAGATCGGCTTGGCTTTGCACGCTGATCGAGATCGATATATATATTTTATGGGCTCGCACATGCTTTCTTCTGTCAGACTTTTATTTATTTGTAAGCTTTCACTGTAGCCAACATATAGTTGTTGTTTAATTTTTTGTTGTCCACTTCAGTATTCACACTTTCGCTGCAATTCTTACTTTCCTTTTAATCGAAAGGAAATAAAAAGGAGAACTTACATGAAATTTGTTGTTTATCTTTTAATAGCATTCAAATTGGAATATTAACCTGAGTGTATTTAACCAAACCTTTGCACACTGACTGACAACAAGTTAAACTTTTTTGGCAGGCACTGGCCGACTAAAAGATACGCTATACCAAGTTTATGTTCAATACATATATGTTTAAGAAATAACTGAAGAAATAGTGATAAGAAGATAAATCCCAGTCTGTTGCTTTACTAAGATATATAAAAAATATTTTACAATTCTTTTAAAAAGGCACACCTGTCAGTAGAGTATAGGCGGCTGGCTATGTGTTTGGCTGCTCTCTTCGTTTTCTTGTGCATGTTTTTATTTGTGGCACTTTCATTGAACACGAAGCTGCATTAAAAAAACATATTTTATCGCACCAAGTGCTCTTGTTTCCAGTCGCTGTGGCGGTTGTTGTTGTTTTTCATCTTATTTTTTTCTGAAAATAAACATGTGTGCTATATTGCATGTACACATATATGTGTACTGCATGTGTCTGGTCATTCTGTCGGTTGTTTTATGAATGTATTTTTGATCTTCTTCTATTCAATGAATTTTTTTTTTTAATGAATGAACAACATTTTTCCGTTGGCCTTTTATTATTTTTTACTATTGCAGCTGGACGTAGGGTTGCGGGGCGTTCGCATATGAGTTTTTATTAGTTGCTGTTTGCCAATTGATTGGAAATATTTCTTTTCATGTTTTTTTTCGTTCACCCCTCCATTTGAAAAGCCGCAAATAAAAACAAAGAAAAATGCTTAATAAATACACCCTACCGTACACCCTACCGTACACATTACCGTACAGCATACCATACAGGAATGCGCTGCCAGTGCTCTTCAAGTGCTCTTGAGCGATGGCATATGAATTGCCCCATTGTTTAGATAATAATAATTCCACGCATTTTATTTGAGTATGGAGCGTGTGTTTAGCAAAAAGATTTATGTATGAGCTTTTGCCCTCTGACAGCTGATGTTTAGCTTATAAATCTTTAATTTATTTTGTTTTGATTATCGGTTATTATTATGCTCAAATCCGTATGAGATATGAAACAATTTTGAAAGCCAAAATATTTTGGCAATTCTTTAATAATTAAATAGAGAAAGTTTTCTTTATGTTTTCTATCAAAACAATGTTCTCATGTTACGAATATTTAAAGAGAAATTATTCGGCTTTGTTAAGAGTTATGAAACTAATCCGTATATGTTTACGTAAACAAACTTGAGAAAAGTTTTATTAATAAAGTGTTTTAAGAATCTGAAAAAACCTTTTCTAAGTGTCAAAAATGATTGTTTACGATTACAATTGACACTTCGACATTTAGATTACAATGAATAAAATCCTATATTCGGCTTAACTGTTGCACTTTCGCCTTTCGTTGGATGCTATAATTATTAAGCATTCGCTTGATGAATTTTTAATCTAGTGCTTGATTTAAACACCTGCGTGATATTAAGTCAAAATAGTACTCTGTTAGCGTACTTTTTTTTTCTTAGCCTAGCACTGTTAACTATTTAACTTAACAGAATTGGCTTGCGCTCTCTTCCTGTAACAGCAGTCAGCGCAGCGCTTACATGCTTGCGCGCCATGTTTAATTTGCCTAGACTAGCGTTAAAACTAAATAAAATTATTGAGTAAAATATCATTTAAAAAGTCTTAATTTTTGCTGTTAAATTAAAAATGAATTTAATTTATAAAATTTAATATGTTCAAAAGTTTTTACTTTCATTTCAGCTTTGCGTTGGGCTTCTCGCATGCGATAATATGCCAAATTGGCGCTCCGGGCACACAGCTCAGCTGAATAGCAGAACAGAACGAGAGAGTGAAAAATTACGAAGCTTGCGCTCACACAACTTAACAGTACAGTAGTTGTGGGTGCCCGAACGACCCACTGACACACTGATACTGTTACACAGACGGTAATGCTTGTGAATTGGACGGCTGATAACAGCGCGCAATTGTATGAGTGAGAGCGGGAGAGCCACCAGCCGCTGTTAACGCTATGCAGCTATTGCTGGAGCAACGACGGCCGCTGCTGCTGCTGTTGCTGTTACGCAGACACAGGTACGAAGCGTGCTGGCGCCTCTGCTACAACCCATCTTTGCTGCTTGGCTGCTGCTCGCTTGCTGTTGGCTGCCGACGCCGCTGTTGCTTGCTATCTGCCGCTGCCGCAGCCGCTGCTCGTTCCGTTGCTCGGCGTTCGCGTATGTTCCGAATTTACAGTTAAACTTTCAACGTGCGCGCATCAAGGCAGCGACAAGTGTTTAGGCGGACGGGAACAACGACGTCCGCAATTTTCACGCGTTGTGTTTTCAAATATTTTGGGGCTGCGCGTAACGGTCAGCGAAAAGGCGAAACTAAAGAGCAAAGAAAAAAAAAAGATAAATAAATAAAATAAATACTAAAAACAACAACAAGAGAAAAAGCCGCTGCTAAGTGTGTGAGAATTTAAATTGTTGCATTAAATAAATAAATGTGAAAATAAAAACAAAACGAGAATTAAAAACGGAAAAAACGGAAATTATTGAAACAAAAACAATTTAGCTGTCTACAAAAATACAAAAAAAAGAAAAAAAATAGTGTGTGCTAAAAAGCAAAGTATAATAGTTGTTGTTGGTGCGCGTATAAATTTCAAAATGTTTGAAAAATATTCGATGAAAAAGTGCTCCAAGCAAATTGAACAGCATGAAGAAGAAAAAACTGAGCGAAATATTTTGAAAATTATATTCTTGGCAGTGCTCTACATTTCGGTTAAGCTACATTAATTGAAAACATTAGAAAAGAAACTGAAAATAATATTATATTATGTAAATAACGGATACTGAGTGACATATATTAATAATACTGAATAGTCGCGCGTGAAAATCAGCTGACTTAAAAGATTACAGTTGGATTTTTGTGTTTTTAGTTTTTCCAGTGTTTTCTTCGGTCTTTATTATTTGTGCGTTAAGCGCAGCGCGACATTTGGCACCTGTTCAGCAAGTTTTTGAAAAGCGTTTAAAAAATCATTTCAAGCTATTTATGCAAACGAGTGAAACCCACAGAGAGGGAGAGAGAGAGAAAGAGAAAGAGCGAGAGAGGGGCAGGAGGTGTAACTAAGCAGCCGTTGACCTAATGTAAGTTGTTTTCTGTTGCTTTGTATGCTTCTTATTAGATTAAGATTTGCTTGTTTAGCACTTAAGCGTTTATACTTATATATATTTATATTTTTTTACATCTATTTTTTAAGAACTGACTGCGCTCGTTATCGCTGTTCAAGCGCATAAACAAATTGTTTGACAACTTAAGATCTGAATGTGCTGACACTCGGAAAATGTCAACACCTCTTTTGCTTATCTGGCAGCGAAAGAAACTTTAATTATATATGTGAAAAGCACTTGATATAGGCTGTTCAATAATGACGCAGGTCTTGCAGTTAACCAGTCAACTTTTAAGTCTAAATCGGCTGGCAAGTATCTGTGAGATACAATTGCAATTTCTATGCAGCATCAACAGGTACTTGGAATTGTGCTGCATTTCCGATAAAACAGTTTATAAAATGAATCAACTGTGCTATGCACAGCATTTTCTTGCTGCACTGGCAACGGTTCACTTGCCCCAACAAGTGCAGCAGCAGCTACTTATGTATCTTTGAAGTTGCAAAAACATTTAAGCAGGCATGTGGCGGTGTGCGTTTGTGTAAATTTACACTTAACTGCAAAACAAAAAACTTAATTGCCCGAAAAACCAAATAAAGCTCAACACGGCGGCAACTGCGTCGCACTCACGCCTGCTTGTCTATCTATCGGACCGACTGACTGACTGAGGCACGACCAAGTGTTGTCGTTCTGAAATAATGCCAGCAACAATAACAGCTCAGGCCTTGAACATGAAATGTGAAAAGAACGTTGCCAAGAGATGTAGCAACAATTCCTGTGAGCACTTACACTAATTGCAGCTGATGTGAAGATTATTGAAGCCAGGGGCGTCTGTCAGCTGGCATTGAACCCTTTTTCTTATACCCTGGCCAAGAGCTAGTGGCTTGAAATTTGAATATATATATTTATTATCCTATGCCATGTTTAGGATATGTACCGTAACCGCGTCCAATTTCAAAATATATTGATAAGTATCGAAGACTCTTAGAGCTATATACATTAAGCTTGGTAGATAGGTTCTTGTATGGTTTACATTGCTTAAGAAAACTTTACTTTTTGGATAGCTACCACTTAAAGCTAGAACCACGAATTTTGGAATCTATGCACAATTGCATGTCACATTTATGCATTGAAAATTTCACAAGAATCGGACAACAAACACTGAAGCTTTTTAAGGTTGTGTGATGAAGAAGCACATTAGTGTATTTTTCTGTATATAAACGAAAAATATTCAAATGTCAAATGCATCAGAGCGATGCAAGGCTTAGGGTATCTCTAAGTTTGATATGCCCGTCTAGAGCCTTCTCACTTCTTGTTTATGGGCGTAAGTGTGTGCTGACTGTGTGTGTGTGTTGGTTTTATAAGGCACGACATTTGCTGCAGTACCTCTTAAAATACCACAAAATGGACATTTTTGGTAAGCCATATCTTCTAAATCAGATTTATTAGACTTCATTGACATATACTGACTATAGGTCTTTATATCCATCTGATTGCTCTATCGAGCTTAAGGCAATCTTGACAAAGTTGTAGAATCGTGAATTGTTACAAAAATATATTCGAAATCATTTGAATACCTTTTGTAACAATTGTTTTGTCTTGCCTTTTCTTTGTCTTTTATTTTCATGCGTTAAGATAAAAATGATTTGAAGCCTAGAAATAAGCTGGAATACACTTGAAAAATCATTAAAATTAAAGAAAAATACTGCTCGTGGAATGCTTTTAATAAATGATAAGGAATTTGCAAATGAAAATTAAATATATGTTATGAGATTTCAATTTATCTGCGGACATATTTCATTGCTCTAATGGAATTTTGCAGCAGCGCCATGTGATATCATGTGTCATGGAATCAATTGTTTTCACAAAACCCCTGTGAATGGCAGCTGCTATGGGAACCGGCTGGTTGTTGGCTTGCCCTTTTGAAATTGTAAATTGAGCGCAAGCATAAAACACATGAGCGACCAAAGGTATGAGGACAGCGGGGCGTATGCGTAATAAAGTTGACAGACAGCACAGACACATGCACACACGCACACTCACTCACACACACACACGCTTTAGTGTCGTATTGTTTCGCTTTGTGCAACGATTTTATGGCCATCTACTACCCGTCCGGACGACACCTTCTGCCTTGCTTAGAAGGCCTGCTGTTTAAGAAGAATCCGAAAAGAAAGACAATATAAAACAAAGGCACAAAGTGTGACGGTAAATTGAAGCGTGGCCCCGTAACATTGTTTGGCCATGTTGGCTGTTGTGTTTGTTTTGGCCAAATATTACTTATACGCCACGGCGGCCGTACGAGCGGGCGACCAGGCGTTTGCCAGCTTAACATTTGCCAAATGAAACGAAGGCAACTAAGCCACTGAAAAGCTCCTAATTAATTAACAATTAATCACAGAAAAGCCGCCGCGCAAAAAGATAGCGAAATCGCTTGAAATTCTCAACTCTTCAACTGGCAACCGGCTATTTAAAAGGTCACATACCTTTATACATGCTCACACGGGTCTTCGCATATTCATACGCATAGCTCAAGCTTCTGCTCGTGCGCTCACTCATTGCCATTGTCAATGTCCAGACGCTTGCCGCGCCTGCCGGCCAAGGCGCTTATCATAATGACCGAAATGCTCTAATCGGGGGCAATTAACGTGACCAAATTTAATTTCCGTCCAGGTCGCTATCAACGACTGCGACGACGACGTCGACATTGACTGCGGCGCCGGCAGCAAACGTGTCGCTATATTATTTACAAAATATCATTTGCTTGCAACGGCCTCTAATGCCATTGGAAATCTATCATGTAAGCCACTGCTTGGTCTTTTAATACTCTGTTCGATAAAGTCTAAGAGAGTTTATTGGTTTTGCCACATGTTTGTAGAGGTCATAAAGCTGAATATATGTATGTAAGCGAGATTTTTCGCGACAGAGAATATTTTATGAGAAAATCAAAAGCTGAAGCTATATTGTACAATTTTCGTTAGTATAGATATATATATATCGATTATATATCAAAATGGAAATAATATATATGCAAACCGAAGTGCCATATAGAAGTTCTGAATGTTTTAAAAATATCGGATTATTATGTTGGGGGCTGGAATAGGTGAATATTTGTTTTAGTGCGACGCTCGTTAAAGGGTATCTGGTAGTCGGACACTTCCAGCCAGCAAGCTCTAGCTTGTTTTTTTCCGTGTGCTTTGTCATTTGCGGCTAGCTTTTTGTGTTTACTCGCGCGCAAAGGTAAATGAGCGAACCACCCAAACACTCAACCAGCAAACCACCCAACCACCCACACGACTGTGATTAGCTGTCTGGCAGGTAACCGCGCCTCAGCTCCTGCCGCTTTATGTTTCAGTCTTTAAACTTGTGGCATCTGTGTGTCCGCTGTCCCGGTCGGTTCGCGCCCCCATTTGAATGGGCGTCTTGGGCACAATTTAGCTATGCGTAGAAATAACAGTAAATATGTAACGCAACGGGAGAGCAAATTACTTATGTTAATTAGTTGGCGCTGCTAATGAGATATCGCACAGATCCCAAAATGATTGCCTGCAGTCATAACCTTAATTTAAAGTCCAGCCAAGTTCTCGTTATACATATTTTTTGAGTCATAGTTGCAGCCTGTAATATATTCCAAGCTGTAAGCTGGTTCAAGTCCGGAATTTCAATTAATTTCTTACCATGAACCGAACCTTAAATCAAACCAATTAGTAAAAAAAATATCCAAACCGAAACATATTTTAAAGGCAAAATTAAGAATTTATTAAATATGATACTATACACCATGTGGAAAGCCAGACACTCAAGCCGATCTACAAGACTGGTCGTTGGTTTGTTTAGGCTTTGCATCCCTGCTGTAAACATAATTCAATGTTGCAATGTCCCTTCTACATAGATTCTGTTTGCTGGCATCTGTTTGCTGTGCTGCTAATGAGCTACATGGCAACGTGTACTTTAATTATCATCAATTAATACGCATAATTCCATGTTCGGATTGCATTGGATGTGCTTTGTAAATTTATATTTAACACCGACTGCATTTCAAGCAACTGACAGTTGATGCTGCAAACAATTAAGTTAGAATTAATTTAATTAAATGTGCATATGATATTCTTTGACAGCGGAAAATAAATAGATTTTTTTCAGATATGAAACTTAGTATTGTAAAATCATGCATTTAGCTCTGGCACATGTCTAATTCTTGCACTTGCCACATTCAAATATTAGTTAGTTAAGGGCTAATAATAATGAGCATTCATGGAGCTGCAATGAACTAATGTGGAGTTGGGATAATAGAATGTTAATGGAAGTTAATTAGATGGAAAAGGACAATTGTTTGAGACTAAGGATAATTGTTTGAAATACGCATACAAATATATTCTCAGCAATTAGATATCACTTTTGCTATCTGCTTTTTATACCATACATTAACAAAATAGGTGTACAATGGGCATAGAGCAGTTGTTATTGTTTTACATCATAAAGTATACTGATTGGTGATCAGCTTCAAGAGCAGACTTGCTTTATTCTTGTAGGTGTCAATCTGTCTGTATGAATAAATCGAGCTCAGAGCAATCTGAATATATTCACTTATGAGTTTATTAGCCAGCTAACATTAAGCTATTCGATAGCTCAACCTTATTAGAAGTCGATTTCCAAGCCGGAATTTTTGTCAAAAATTAATCGATATCTCAGCCTTAGAAGAAATTGATTTCCAGTTTGGTTTTATTTTTTAAAGTAAATTAATAAAAAAAACCTTATCAGAAATCAATTTGCAGGCAGGTTTATTTTTTGTAAAGTTATAACTCAACTTTACAGGCCAGACAGGGTTTTCCAGAGCTAAAAGAAGTCAGCTGTCGAATTTAATAATAATAAGAACATTTAATAAGTATTAATATTTATATTAAAAATTAACAATTTGTTATGAAACTGTTAACAGTTCATTAAATATACATGCATACCTATTAATCGGTTGACATAAG